ACTGACCATTGGCAGGTTGATCTCTGTGTGGCTGGTAATGATTAACCTATTTTGTGGAACCCCTGGGTCATAGGTGAAGGTACAGAGAGGGTTTCTGTGGCTTTTTGTTTGTTTATTCTGAAATGTTATTTTAGGCCTTTGCCCAACAAACTGAACCCGGAGACTTGTAAATATGACTATATTATGTAAAAGGAATCCACAAAGTACGACAGCCTGTGAACTAGACTTGGTGGAGAGAAAGTCTCCATCTGGGAGCTGCCTGGGGCATCAATGGTCCCTTGATAAGACTTCCTCTTTGGCCTTCCAACCGCTTCCTTGAGCCTAACCACGCATCCTCTAGCAGTGGAAGGGTTAAACCGGTTTCTCTAGGTTTGTAGTGTGGAACACTGGGAGGCAATGAGCTGGGGTGTCCTGTGATACAGTAAACCAGGGAACACATAGAGAAGGCCGAGTGGGGAAGCCAGAGTCTGTGGCTGTCTGGATGCTTTTGTGAAAATGTTCCAGGCCTGGTTCGTTGGTTCATGGAGGGCAGCAAACTGTTTCCGTAGCTGGGACAGTGTCGTGTGCCCTGCTATTTAATAAGTAATGCCAGCAGGTATTTAGGCAGTGACTCGTCGCACCAAGAAACCTCTGTTAATAATACAGAGATGTGATGATGGGTCGGGACAGTGGGTGCCCCTGCGGAGCCCGGAGTGGTTTTGCTATGGTCTCTTCTGTTGTTAGTCTTTTCTTTGTTTGTATAGTTCTGGGGGTTGAACCAAGCTAGGCCACACTGAGCCACATACCAACCCCAGTGTCTTATTCCATCCAAAGGATGAAACCCCTTCCTTCTCTCCCTTCTCCTTCCTTCCTTCCTTCCTTCCTCCCTCTAGCCCTTCCTCTGTCCCTTCCTCCCTAAACAAGGTCTTTCTATGTGGCCCAGGCTAGCCTAGAACTCACAATCCTCCTGCCTCAGCCTTCCAAGTAGCCAGGATTCCAGGTGAATGTCACTTTGCTGTTTGGGGTGAGGGTGGTGTTTTTTTGTTTGTTTGTTTTGAGACACGCAACTCTGGCTGGCCTGGGACTCACTGTGTAGATCAGGCTGGTCTCAACTCACAGAGATCTCCCCGCCTCTACCTTCCAAGCTGTGGAATGAAGGGTGTACTTCACCACACCTGGCTCCTTTGCTGGCGGATGAACTTCTGGACTCTCTCCCTGGGCACACTTTGTCACAGAACATGTCCAAAGGTCACCATTTGTAGTTCTAAGGGGAAAGTCGGAATGATGAGCTTTTGCCTTTTCTTCATGTTTACTGTCTGCTGGTGGCTGGTTCTCACCCCCAAGCCAGTGAATGTGCTGAACCAGCCTGGCCAAGTCCTTTTGCTTTCAACTGAGGGGTTGATGCCCGTCATCCCATTCCCCTCAGCTCTGGCTTTATGACTGGGAACCTCTCTGTTCATTATTCTGCTGAGATGATTTTTCCCTTCTCATAAATTCTTCAGTCCCTGTAATTATACTTCACTCGGAAAACTGCTGGTCACATATCCAGTGCAGAATTCCCCTTGACTCCTGTCCTCCGTATTTGCTGCGCAGATGATGTCTTTGGATGCCGTGTGCACTTTCCGAGTGATACCTGGGCAGCTGCTCATACAGAGCCAAGGTGAACTCTCACAGAGCCCCACCTGGCACAGGTAATGGCATGAGCGTTTGTTCTGTGCCAAGTGGTAGAAATGGCTTTTGAACACCTGCTCCATGGTAGAGATCGTTTTGGGTGTAAGCATGCAAACACCAGGCAAATACACCCCTTGCTCTAGCAAGACATACAAATCTAATAGGAGGGACGGGCATAAACAGTTACACCACCACGTGAAAACGGGGCATGCTAGAATTAGGTGGACCTTAAAGGCGAGTGAGCTGGGCCCCACTTGGCTTCACACAGTACGTGCACATTGTGCCATTAGCAAGTAATGCTAGCCTAATCATCCAGTGTCCTAGAGTGGCAACATGCAAGATGCTTCAGCATCAAAGGTGGTCATTGGATAATACCCAAATTCTCATGTGCCTTGTTCTGTCCCGACATGAAACTGTCTGTCTGTTTCTTCTGTTTCCTTTTTACTGAATGTTCTAGAGTTTTCAAATAGTCAACTTCCTAATTCCCCAAGGAATATTTTTGTTACTTAATTCAATTACTAACCCTAAAAAAAAAAATTAAAAAAAAAAAAGTCCTCAAGCTATGTGAGCACTCCTGAGATGAGGGATTGTTTCGCATTCTTCTATCCTTCTGGGACATCTGGGGCACAGGGCACAGTCACCGGCTGGCCTGGCTGCTCTTCTCAGTGAACCGTGGATGTTAGACACAGTGGTAGAGGACTGCCCCGGATGTTTTTGCTCCTAACCAAGTCTGCAAGGGTGCCAGGGCATGCTGGGAACCTCAGGACAAGCATATTGGGGTGTGTCCATATGACCTCTGTTATCTATCTGGGGGACTCACTGAAAGGGAAAGGCTCTTATCTGCCCTGGTTGGAATCAAGAAGGACTGATGTGTTCTGTGCGATGCCAGGCCCAGTGGCCAGAGTTCACATCAGGATTGCCCCACTCCTGAAGAGGTATTTATCCCGTCTATCTCCTAAATGGCAAGATCAATGTTCCTCTAGGTGAATCTGGTTATTCTTTAAAAGCAACCAAAGAGTCAAATGGCGTGATTCCCAAACACTGGGGCTCTCTGAAGGTCACGATGAGGAAACCAGCTCGTGGCCTTAGCCCAGTGTTCCTGGTTTGTGGGAACAAAGGCTCCTGTCGGTGACAGGGACAGAAAAAGGAGAAGACCCAGCCCTCCTAGAACAGACTCTGCTCAGCTCTGGCCTTTTTATGGGGATGAACTTTATGTCCGATCTCATGATTGCGGCTTTTGGACTTTTTGTTCATGATGAAAAGTAACTTATGTAATGCTTATCACTCCGCTATCTGGCTTGCCAATTGGAGAACTAGCCCTTTCAATACAACGCAGAATACGGTGTGTAGATGGGCTTGGGTGGTAGCTCATTGGTGGAGTGTGCTGAGCGTGCATGAGCCCTGGGTTCGATCCCCAGCACGGCCCCTCCAAATAAAAAGGGAGGCACAGATTTGTGGCACAGCATACACAAACAGACAATAAAGGTTGTCTTAGGTTAATGAGTGTGTGTGTGTGTGTGTGTGTGTGTGTGTGTGTGTGTGTGTGTGTCTGTGGGGGAGGTCAACCTCAGTTGTCCTCCTGACATTGTTCTGATCTTTTGAGACAGTCTCACTGAACTTGGATTCAGCTAGGATTAGATGGCCAGCGAGTCCCAGGAATCCTCCTGCCTCTGCCCATTCAGTGCTGGGATTGTAGGAGCACACTGTCATGCCGGGCTTTGTATGTCAGGGATGGGGAGTGAACCCAGGTCCTCACACTCCACAGCAAGCGCTTTTCCAACCGAGCCCCAGCCCCGTGATGATGATTCTTGACTGTTTCTCCCTGTGGATAGTGATCACCTATGATTACCTGTCAGGATTCCAAGCCTGAGATGTGAATTTTTCACAAAAAATATGTAATTGTACCCTTTTTTGTTTGTTTGTTTCTTGAGGAAGCCAAAAACACCCCTTCCTCTTTGCACTTGAAAAGTCTGTTGACATTTGGCAAATGGGAGAATGTGGCGCTGTCAGCACGCGTGTGTTCATTCAGTGCTCTGGGGAATGTTCTTCAGACACTGGCTCTCTGTGGCCACGGCGTGACAGGAGCTGCGTTGTTTGGAACCCACAGCCCAGCTAGTACGCAGTGACTCTGGCCTTCTCTGTGACGTGAGCTGTGGCTTTCTCCGTGACTACTAGATAGGAAAACAGTTCAGGAAGCTAGATGTCACCTAGTCAGTCTGGCTGGGTGTTTGGTGGCCCTGTGAGCCTTAGGGAGGTGGGCTGGGAGCAGGGCCTACTGAAGGCAGCAGGGGGACAGTCCAGGTGAAGTAACCAAGAAGCCTAGTGTGCTGTATTCCCATGGGCTGGACTGACAGGCTAAGGGGACTGGACTTTGGACTGGAGATCATAGGAAGTCATTTAAGATTATGGAGGAAGAGTGTACTTTCCCTTACGAACACTGTTTTTTTGCTTGCAGGAGTTTGGCGTTGCCTAGGCCTTACCTACTTCAGATGTTTTAAGAACCCCACAAAGCATTTGTGACGATGTCATTTTTCTAATACTATCTCTAGTAGGCTGACCTTCATGTGTACAGAAGAACACCCAAGAGCAAGCGCCACACAACACTCTTGCTGACTGCTTGGCTCTTCCCTCCTGGTGCCCCTCAACCAAGCCCCGTGGCCTCCCTGCTGATCCTAGAATGTGCTGGCATGCACAGGCACTTGGTGTTCTTTTTGCTGGAACATTCTTCTCCAGAACAGCCCATCCTTCTGGGGCTTCCCCGTGCGAGGCATCTGTTCTCCATCTGCTCTCGCTGTGTCCTCCCACCCACCCCCCTTCAGTCGGCCCCCACCTGTGCCCCCACTGGAAGGCATGTTCTAGGGAACGTGGACTTTGTTTTCATCCATGGCTGGAAAGCTGAGCTCATGTGTAGTGAACAGTCAGTAAGCAATGAAGGGTTGCCCTCTGCACAGTTCGGCTCCTTCTGTGTTTTGTTGTTTAGAGATTTCAAAATACAGATTCATTTTATGCATTTGAGAATTTAGCCTGGATCTATATGTTTGCACCAAACAGGTACCTGATGCCCATAGAGGCCAGTGTTCCCTGGAACCAGAGTTACAGATGGTTGTGAGTGGCCACATGGGTGCCGGGGAAAATTGAACCCAGATCCTCTGTGAAAGCTACAAGTGCTCTCAACTGCTGAGCCATCTCTCCTGTTGAGAGAATGTTCGTACTGTGTTTTCTAACAGTCAAGGGTGGAGAGTCAAAGCTGTCCCTGTTGAGATTTGAACTTAGATAGCTCTTCAAGGTTACGCGATGTTTTCATTTCAGAACAGAAAGTGAATGCTCTTCTGGCTGTTTTCATCCCACAGGTAGGCGCTCTGTGGCCCGCCTGGCCACTTCCAGTCAACATGGTGGACACAGAGAGTCCCATCTGTCCCCTCTCCCCACTTGAGGCAGATGACCTGGAGAGTCCCTTATCAGAAGAATTCTTACAAGAAATGGGAAACATTCAAGAGATTTCTCAGTCCCTTGGGGAGGAGAGCTCCGGAAGCTTTAGTTTCACGGACTACCAGTATTTAGGAAGCTGTCCGGGCTCCGAGGGCTCCGTCATCACAGGTAAGCGCTGCTTTCTGGAAAGATCTTAGATGTGTATTTTCCTCAGAGAATGTAAGACTTTAAAAAAAGAATATCTTTGTCTCTGTCTGTCTCTCTCTCTCTCTCTCTCTCTCTCTCTCTCTCTGAAGCCATCATTACAATCAAAACAATGACCACACCCATCAAACTGCTTGGTGCTCCCCAGCGATGCCTGCCGTCCTCTTCACCTCATGACTTCTGACAAGTTTTCTAGCATTGCAGACTTTTTGTGTGTGTTCTGTGTTGACTAGTTTGTGTTTCCTGGAACTTTCTGTAAACGGCATGGTTCTTTCTAGACAGGCTTCCACACTCCTTGGGATCTGTCTGTGATGCCTCCGCATGGTGGTGTGTATCTGTACTCCGCTCCCTGCTGTGTGCTGCCCGACATACCATGGTCCCTGTCTCCGTCTCCGCCTGTGAACACAGGAGCTGTGGGCAGTCCCCAGCTGTTGCCTATAGAATAGTTACACTCAAGGCTTTGTCCAGATGTCCATGTCCTTCTCCTGGGTAGACACATAGGAAGGGCTGGGCCAGTGGGGCAGAGGTTGGTGTGAGTTTTCAGGAAATGCCAACACCCCTTCCAAAGTGCTGTCCCCACCTTCAGTGTGGGCCTTCAGCTCCTCCCAAGCTCGTCTGCTGAAGAGGTATA